CCGCCCCCCTCCTCCGCGCCCCTTCAGATCTGTACTACAACGGTCGGCCCCGACTCGTCGCCAGTCCCTTTCTCTTCCCCTCCGCCGCCCTTCGCGTCGAACAGCGCGTCTAAAACGAGACCGCAGCAGCAGCAGCAGCCCCATCGGCGGAGCTGTGGGGCACAGGAGCCCTCGCTGCGCGGCCTGTGGTCGAAACTCAACTAATTTCTCCGAATTTCGGTGACATTAGGCGACTCTGTCCCGGGCTGATTCTTGATCTTGATTCTTGATTCCCTTCATTCCCCCATTTATCTGAAACTGATTCGCCAACCTGGTCCCCTAGATGGCCTATTGGGCGCCCACTTCTGTACTTACACTGTGCCGCATACATGCGTGTGGGCGGGTTGCCTAAGCTCTCGAGGCTCCGTGGCGTGGCACCAACTTCAAAGACGATTACGCAAACCCACTCAGTCAAAACCTTGCAATTGAGGAGGATTTGACATTTTGCTTCGCAAGGTTTTAACTGCGCGTCCTTGCTGGGTCGTGGTCACGGCAGGTCGGCATCGGCCACCTTGTATCCACCAGTATCCAGAATGATGCACCTATCGTCCTCTGGCTGGGTTGCACGCACTCCTGGAGCCGGACGGGTGGTGGCCACGTGGTCAGGGGGCGGGGTGGAGAGGGGCGGGACGGGTCCACGACGGGACAGGACGCAACAAGCAGGGTCTGGGCGCTGACGGCGGCGGGTAGGGCGGCTGCTGGCGGCACCCTCTGTCCTTTCTGACCCCGCCCCACCCCGCCTCGCTCTGACCGCAAACCAGAGGCTGCTCCGCTAGTGTCATGTTTTCTCTTCTTCTGTGCGTCGCCTGCGCCTCCGACGACAGCACCAGTATAGCTTTCATTCGCTTAGGTTCACCGACAATTTTCTGGGAAAAACGGCGTTTCCTTTTCTGCAGATTTTTTCTCGGCTTAAAAAAAGGGGCGGCTGCTACCGATGTCTCTCACCCCCGCTGACGATCGAAAGCCCCGCGGAGGGGAGAGCAGGGACTGTGACTGACAGCCACCCAGGACTCTCGGAAAACAGGAGCACAATGCACCGCAAAGAGAGGCGGCGAGAGGCCCACCTGGAACAAAATTGCCTTTCGTAAAAACAAAACGAATAAGGGGGAAGGAAAGTGGCTAAAGCGTGTTTGGATAATATTTGCTTACGAGGGCCGCAGACGCCCATTTCTCGGTAGTGTTCCGCCGGGCACGCACCTAATGGTGGGCTCGGGTGTCGCCGGGGGGAGGAGGGAGGAGAGGGGCTGGGGAGGCTGGGGGAGCACGAGATTTGTGGGCGTGGCGGAGCGTAGCGTGGCGTGAAACGGCGCAGCATAACCGAGAGAGGGTTGCTCTCGGCTCGGTCGGGTTTATCACGCCGAGACATCGGCGCTGCTGTGGGGGCGCTGGGCTGACCGCACCCCGATGCACACGGCCGCCCCCCCAACGAGCGCGAGAAACCCGACCGAGTAAACGACACGGCGCGACCTTAGACGGCCCTTTTCGATATATTCCTGGCGCGGCGGGGACGGCGCCGAACGAACGGACGACACGACGCCTGCCTGCCTGGCCTCGTTGAAATTGAACGCAGCGCGCGGAAGTGGCTCGTCTCGCCGGGGATCGCGCTAGCGCCCCAACCAACCTCACCCCCCGCCCCCGCCAGCGCGTGGCGCAGCTCCCGCGCGCGAACTGAACCGAACCGCCCGGCCCAGCAACGCAAGAAGGATCGGCCGGTTGACGGATTGACAGACGAGCCACAAGACGGATGACCCGAGCGACACACGGAGCGACACGGAGACATACGCGGGGGCCCAGCAGGGGGCCCAAGGGCGCAGCCCCTATTAAGGGGTTAAATGTTACGGGGCCGCGCCGCCCCGCCCCGCCGCGTGCTCGGGCTCACAGGGGGCGCCCCGCGCACCCCTCCAGAGCAGGACGCAACAGCGGCACCAGGCCGCAACGTGACAACCCCCAACCCTGCCATAACCCTTGCGACAATATCTCTTCACAACCACTCCTCGCCAACATAAAGGCATCGCGTCCGCGGCCGCGGCGCTGCGTCCATCGCGGTCGGCCTCCTCACCGGCGCACGCGGCGTTCTTCACGGCGTTCTTTTTCACAGGCGATCGGAGTTCCCGACTCGCGGGTGCGACCGGCCGGGGGTGTTGTTGTTGTTTGTTGAAAACATGTGACAAGCGCACTGCCATCACGGTTAATTATTGCTCTATGAGGTTAAATCAGGGCGTGGCAGGGCGGGCGGGTGTGGCGGGCGTGATGTACGCGGCGCCGAGTCGCGCGGCGGCGGGGCGCGGGGGCGCGGGGGCGGGACGCGACACGCAGGGGGCGCACTTATCGCAGAGGCGCGATCAGTCCACGTAGTAATTGGTACCCAAGCGAGAGGTTTCGCGGAGGGTTTGCGCGGCCATAGGTTCCTGGTTCGCACGCAGACGGGTGGTGACGGTGACGGGTGCGAGGCATGCCAACCTCCCCGGCCCGGCCGCACTGGGGGGACCGATGCGGGTACAAATGGGAGGTGGAATGTCAGCATTGCTATGCGCTCCGCTGCCCCCTCCCCTTCCTCACCCCCCCCCCCTTTTCCCTTTCCTCCCGCCCAGGGAATGCTTGCGCCCCAAAACGTGACGCAATTAGCGTGTGGGACACGTGCACGGGACGCCCGCCCCCTGCGGCCCCGCCCGCGCCGCCCGCGCCGTCCGGGTGAGGAGGGGAGGCCGCCGGCCCGCCAGGAATGCGACGGAAACCCATTATCGGAGTAAACTTTGGGTCGCGGCCTACAACTTTGCCCGTGTGCTCGCTGCTCATGCCTACCTTGTCCTTGTTGTGGTTCCAGACGCGGCGGCCCAGCAGTACGGCGAGGTGAACCAGCTGGGCGGCGTGTTCGTCAACGGCCGGCCGCTGCCCAACGCGGTGCGCATGCGCATCGTGGAGCTGGCCCAGCTGGGCATCAGGCCGTGCGACATCTCGCGCCAGCTGCGCGTGTCGCACGGCTGCGTGTCCAAGATCCTCGCGCGCTACCACGAGACGGGCTCCATCCTCCCAGGCGCCATCGGCGGCTCCAAGCCGCGCGTCACCACCCCGAGGGTCGTGCACTACATCAAGGTGAGCAGCGACGGCCCTGGCGGTCATGCGCGGTAACGCGCGGTCACGCGCGGTCACGCTCTACGCAGACCTTCTCATACAAGCGTCTCTCTCGCGTTGCAGGGCCTCAAGAGCAAGGACCCGGGCATCTTCGCGTGGGAGATCCGCGACCGCCTGCTGTCCGACGGAGTATGCGACAAGTACAACGTGCCGTCCGTGTCCTCCATCTCACGCATCCTGCGGAACAAAATCGGCAGTCTGTCGGGGGTGGCGTCTCCGCCTAGCCTCCCAGCCGTGCTGACCGGCTGCACCTCCCCATCGCCCGGCTCCGCGCCGCCCCCACACCCGCACCTGTACAACTCAATCTATCCGCAGTACACGGCCTACGGACACGCGCCTGTGCAGGTGCCGTCCGCGTCCCCAGGATCACCGCTCAACTCCCCCGGCCCCAACAACAACAACAGCAAGATGGCCTCACCGTCACCCCCGTACCCTGCACCCGGCTCCACGGCCTCCGGCGGCGTCCCACGGGGCCCCTGGCCGTCCAGCCACTCCGTGACCGACATCCTGAACGCGGCCAGCGTGGCGCACCAACATCACCTCATGAGAACGTCGGGGAGCTCGGTGCCCGTGGGGTCGCCGCCGGGCGCCCGACCCGCTCACGGCAACCCGGCCGACCAGAACTACAACTACTACATGTACCTGCAGAGCTGCTCGACGGCGGGCGCCGCCGGCGTACCCAACATGCACACGTCGGCACTGGCCGTCATGAACGGCCACCATCACCACCACCATCACCACCACCACCATCCGTGCCTGACCGGCCAGGCCGCAACGCCCTGAGGCACAGGTGACCGGACGGCACCAGCTTGACACCATATTGTGTCACGGTGTGGAGTGTGGGAAGGGGAGGGGTGGAGTGTGGACGCTATGATCTCACTGGTTAAATGATTTTTGTGGCAGTTAATAAGTGCCTCAAAGCGTGCTATAAAATGCGCAGTATCGGAATTTTGTACGTACTGCTCGTTTGTTGATCTATGTATTGATGATCCTTTGCCATGATGAATAATGCTTGAAAGGCTTCAAATCAGCAGCCTGTGATCAATTACTTTCCGTTATACCGTGATAGGGGCGACTTTTTTTCGCTCAATTCATACGGAATGTCTCTGTAAATAAAATAGTTGAGAATTAAATATCTTTGAGTTTTCAAATAGTTATTTGTATTTTATGCACTGTGTCGAAACCTCTATTCAAATAGATCGAGTCGAAATCGTTACATTACCGCCCATGAAAAATAAACGTGCATTTAATTTCACAAAGCAGACTGTTTTTATGTTTATTTTTCATTGAAGAACAATTTTTATCCCATGCATTTTCTCTTTTTTTTTTCATGTCCCTGCGTATTATTTAACCCGGCTCGTCCTATACCTGCATAACAAAGTTGCGAGGTCGTAAACTCTCTCGACGTCGTCGACGGGACCCCACTTACTCTTACTCACCCGCACCGCCGAAACCGCTTTGAAATCAAGTTTCAAAGTTAGCCGCCTGTGTGCCCGGATCCTTTGAAGACCGTTTCTGCGACTTTCTGCCCTTCTGGCTCCAGGGACACAAGCTGGGTTTATTGTACTTTTTAAAGTATAACTGTTGAATCAGCGAAAACGAAAGTCGCCATGTTCTGGCTTAGTGATTCCTCGTCATTTCAGCTAAACCGGAATGGTTTATTGAGTTTGGCAGTTGTATCCGCGGAATGCCTCTCGCGTACGCGCTCGCGACAGAACAGGGAATGCCCAGTCAAAATGGGGGGGGGGGGGGCGGCGGTCATAAATATATTTTTTGCGAGCTTTCAGGACAGTACAAAATTGCACTACGACGACGACGAGATGGTAGACGGATTGTAGTACAATTTGGTTACCCAACCCATATACCCATAGCGGAGGCCGCGCCAGCATACGCCAGCGCTACCCGCGAGCCTCCTATCAGCAGGACGTGCCCCGCGCCAACGGCACAAAACACGACTCGGGGCACACGCTGTCTCTACTCTACCTCCATACGTTCCAGAAAACAGAAATCGTTTGCCTGTCTAGATATTCACGGTACCGTAGACTCAGTATACGCGTGCGCGCCGGTTGAAGTCGTTTGCTCTCGCTACAAAACACATATCCGCTGTTCGAGAGAAAATTAAGAAATCGTGTCGTAGCCCAATGGAACTGGAGTGGACAGAAGTAGCAGGGGCTGCAAGCGCAAGCTGCAAGAGAAAGTCCCAAGTCTAATTAATAGCCAGCCAAAAACGTCGTATCGATATTCGTCAAATCGACATCGACTCGTCAAAAAATTCATCGTTTCGACGTAATTTTGGACCTCTGGTTCGACCAACGACGTCGAAATGACGCCGTTACGACATGCCATTTCTGGCTGATCTAGCAAATGGAAACTTGAGTCTTGAATCAGTATTCAAACCGAAATTTGTGTTTTCCGGGGTTAAATATAGGATTTAGGCTGGGCGACACAAAACAACAACAACAAACATCAAATTCATCAGTCTTTATTCAAAAAAT